CCAATCTCTAGCCTCATTTATCAAGGCTTTAATCTCTCCCTCTTCGCTTTCTTCCAACAAACAAAGGTTTTCCCCCAATGGAGTGACTTTGATTCATAAATAACCTTCGGAATGAAAAGCTTCTTGAATGTTATATGTCATTCCAGATTTTTATATTGCCCCCAACAAATGGTTTTTATAATCTTTTAAGATCATTTTTTTCAATGTTGAATTGAAGGTGAGTAAATTTAGGCTTCTTCTCCTTTGATCCCCAGCCAAAAACGTTTTCCCATTTTTTCTCCTTATTTCTAGAGGAATCCTGAAACCGCCTTTGTAGACACTTCCACTGAGTAGACTCTCATCCTTACTGCTTGAGCATAGGACTTACGATTCACATCTGCATTCCAAATATGGTGCCATAACGATTGGAGTCTCCCGCCCCTTTCATAATCTGCCTCGTGTCTTTGACGTTTCCTTAAAGGTTCATATGCATTCCTCCCACGTTGAAATCTTGGGATATTTAAATAAATATTCTTTCCTTGTATAAAGATGTTATCTAGTTTCATCACAAGTGGTCTCACATATGCTACCTTTCTGAGCCTTACAGAGACATATTTTTTTCATCTTTTATCAATATTTGGATGGATCACCACATCAACAACCAATACAAAGTATTTAAAAGTCTCATACATCTCCTTAGTGCCACAAGAATCTGGGAACTCTGCAAAGAAGAAGGAAAATACAAGTTCCCCCTCCAATGGACTTTTCCTTCTTCATGAATCATAGGCTGACCCATGCCTAGTTCCATACGTTGATATTCTATGTCTCACCACCTTCCAACCTCCCTATTCCTCGACCATGTTCCAAAGATGCTTCTCCCTTTGATGTTCACTATAACCTAATTTAGATGTCGGGATTTGTTACGGTTTTGTGTCAGATAAAAGTATAGTTTCTAGCGGAGATTGATAATCTTTGTGAATTCTATTGATGCATGACATCTTCTAAAAAGTTAAAAACTTGATAAATTTATTAAAAATTTAGCGTTGAAGTACCGAGGATAATGGAGGTTCTTATATAGGATATTATTTACTTCCTCTTTTCCAACCAAACTTTGAATTATGTAAACATTCTACCAATTCTTGTTGTAGCTTCTTCACTAGATGCATCCCTAACTAAAATTTATTAAATTTATGTTGGATATAAACTTAATTTGATCCATTTGGCTATTAATTTTTTAGGACTATTTTTGGTTTTAATTGTATATTTTAAAGGAAGTCTTAGTGAGATGTAGAAGTTAATTGATAAAGAAATAGGAATAAATGCATGTAGGAGAGAAAAATCTCTTTCTATCTATCTATCTAAAATAATCTATAGATATGTATGTAGAACTCTCTCTTGAGATCATTTGTAAAGAAAGAAGAAGCAAGTAACAAGTAAGTAAAACAAACTTGTAAAATATCCTATCAAGTAATATAAATTACCATTCTCTCAAATAGTCTCTTCTCACCAATTTCTAGAAAAATATCAATATATCCATATCTTTTTGAAAAAAGTGGCATTGGAGCTCAGTTTTAAATAAGAACTCATTCAATATTCATGGCTAACAATGGATCAACATCCTTCCTAGTTTCATTTCCCAAAGGAATTATTTATGATAGTTTGTGTATCAAAATTAAGGATTTTCTTAGACTAACATGGTGTTTTAAAGGTTGTTTAAAAAGACTTCTAGGAATCACAAGATGATGATTCCTTAACTCTAGCACAAATGAATGTTTTGAAGATTAAAAAAATGAGACAAGAGAGATCTTTTTACTCATCTATCATACATTAGAGGAAGATGAGTTTGAGAAATTTGTATTGTTCCTTTTGGATCGGCTGCATTATATAAAACAACATAGTGTATACAAGTTATTTTGGTGAATAGAGGACACGTGTAGCGCATGATGTTCTAGCAGGTGTGGCACATATATCCCCTACTGCGTTGGCGCGTTTTCTATTTGTATTTTAAGCATGTTTTTGGATTTTTTTTCTAATTGATTTGTTGTTATCCTTTAGCAACTTAATTAATTAGATTTTTTTTGATGATTTATTAAGATTAAATTTAAAGATTTGTAAATTTAAATTTGAATTCGAATCAAATTGATTCTTGTTGTGGAGTTGTTTTGAAAAACAATTCTTAACCAAATCTCCACTTTATCTACTGATCAAATCTTATGGCCATTAATAGAAAGTCCAGCAGAAGAATTCTATTTAAGATACTCAATTTCATCTTTGAAGAAGACGAGCAAGTATTGAAGATTCCTAGTATTAGGGTTTTATTTGAGTCATATGTTCGTGTTGCTTGTACATCACGCTAGTGCCCACTTCATATCAAAAGGCATAGTATTGTGTGTTTAATTGAGTTGTGATTCAACATTCTATAAGTTTTTTATTGAAGTTACAATCACTTGGGATTAGTGATTGAGAGAAAGAGATAGGGTTTCTCATATTTAGGGAGAGTCCTAAATAGATAGTCACTAGGATTAGAAAGAGGCATTATACAACATGGGGTTGTTGTTCCTAGAAAAACTAATTGTACTAATTCAAAATAGTGAATTTTTTTTCTTGGATAGAGTGCTCCCCAAACATAGGTGCGGTTTCACCGAACTGGAAAGCTATGGTAAAATTTTGAAAACACCCTGCGATTATTTGTTAATATGGTACATCAAGCTTAAAGGCAGAAGCTGGGTGGATTGATTAAGAAGATAATGAAGCTCTTGAAAACTCCAAAGCTTTAAATGCAATTTTTAATGGTGTTGAAAAAAACGTGTCAAGATTGATCAACACATATACTAAATCTAAAGATGCATGTGAGATTCCTAAAATTTCTAATGAAGACACATCCACTACTACAATTAACATCTCTTACCTCAGTTGAAAAATAGGTATTACACCGGTTTAACAGGAGAGGTAACGAATGGCGTTATAAAAAGTGCATATTTTACCTCTCAGTTTTTAAAAAATTGACGGGTATGTGTAAAGGTGGGTTCGATCCCCAAGGAGACCTTTTTGGAATTCTGAAATGGCGAAAACACATTTTCACCTTGGTTATCTCATAAACTGAGGGGTAAAAAAAAATTGAGTTTATTAAATCTAATGTGAATTTCTTATTTCACTAAACCCTATACTGAACATATAACTTCTCAAAATTGGTTAAGAAAATCATTATATGAATAATTGTGTTATATTTGAAGAACAACACATTGGTTACGGATTTAGAAGCATCCTACAACTCATCATTCATATCACGTTGTTTTATGGTTAAAATCTCTCCAATGTTTTAAGTTTTTTATTCAACACTTCCTTTTCTACTAGTTCATTCTTGAAAGCATAAGACTTTATGCTTTTAAAAATGAACAAATATGGAAGAAATTTGAACGAAAAACAGAAGTATTGGAGAGATTTCAACTATAAAACATGAGATGAATGATGAGTTGCAAAATGCTAGAAAATCATTAATCAATGTAAGATAAGTTTCAGATACTACATAATTGTTTATATGATTATCTCCAAAATTAATTTACTAGGTTATATGCTCAAAGAGATGTTAGTAAAACAAACAATTGATGTTAGATATAATAAACTTGACTCAACGGAAAAAGATTAGAGTTGCACAAAGAATCACAAAATACATAATATTAATATCAATATCAATATCAATCTCTACTCAAACACAATAACAACAACTAAAATACAACATATAGATTAATAAACTCAACTAAAAAACAACAACTTACATCAAACAACAACACACACAAAAAAAAAACAATCAACAACAATATCAAGAACAACATCTTCAATAAATACCTCTAGTAGTTAATGTATTAAATCCAAGAGAGTAACTCGTTCATGCCTTATGATTCCTATAATCCAAACTTCTCTCTAAACATGCAATTTGGCCTCAAGTATTTCTCAAAGGTTCAATATTTTAATTTTCCATTATCCCTTGTGAGTTCTACAACTTCCCAGATGAACTTGTCAATGTACTCTCATAATTTTTTATTCTTCATTTGCATAATGGCATTGAGAACGACTATTTTCTTTTGTAAGTGTTTTTATGGTGTGATGTGGGATGTGAACCCTTCACATAGTGGTCTCCGAAAACGGATGAAGTTATTTTCTTTTGTTTTATGAACGGTTTCTATGGACGGTGGATCTTTCAGTGAAGTTATGCATGTGCCTCCAATGGAAAAAGAAGAGGGGAGCCTCTTTAGACGATGATCTTCAAGTTCTATGCAGATATTATCCTCGCCATCAAGTCATGTGGAGGAGAATTATTGTCACAGTGATAATCTCTATCTCCAATTTTTTTATCCTAGGCTTAGATCAAATTTGTGAATCAATTTGGGATTAAAATGAACAACATCAATGTCTTAGAGAAGAAGACGATCCAACATGTCAACTCATCAGCCACACACATTAACAGACGTTTGAGGGTCATTGACAGAAAGAACCAATATGACACCATTTAAAAACTCAAATAATCACTTTAGAATTTTTTAAAATTAAAGAATCAAATTGAACACCGGGATAGACTGAAGGGACCAATTTGAATATTTTGCCTTACTTATTAAAGTACGAGAATCTTAAACTAAAATGTCAACATAGAGTAAACTTAAAATTTTCAATTTTATACGTGCTAAAAACATTTATTTTTTTAATCGTTTTTTAAACTTGTTTTTTCATAAATCTTTTTTTCTAATCCTGTTTTTATAAATTTTATTTTCCCAAACAATTGATTATCGCTTATTAACAAAACATGCAATATCCTATTTGTTAACTTCTGAATATAGGTTCTAAATAACTGTGGAAATGGAATCTAAAATAGAGTACAGTTGAAGAAGTAACATTGAGGTAATGGACAACAATTTCATACAAAACTGTATATATACAATTTATCCCATGAAAGGTACCCAAAACAGTGACAAAATAATGATATTCCCGATGCAAAAAATATATCTTATCATTTTCATCTTAAACATTTAGTTGAGTTTTTTTTTGTAAATTACATATGAATTTCTCTTGTGCTCAGCCAAGAATAGCAATAAATCCTTGTCATTTTCTTTTTCTAAATGAGAATAGGCCTTCACAAAATAGCTGAACTCTTGTCCATACATGTCAAAATACCTGAACTCTTGTCCATACATGTACAATGCACATGCTGCTTTGTATGTGAGTAACTTTAAATCACCACTTTTAATGTTTGATTCAAACTGGCTACTGCTGAAATATTTGTGTAGCCACCACCGACATCGAACATTCCAAGTTTCTGCTGATATATCCCCTGTAAAAAATTTTGGGGTTTCGCGAGAGGAGGAATGTTGCAGGCCCTGTACTTTATCATTTTGAATGGAGCATGTTGACAAGAGGTCATCTTCATAGAGAGACAATTTAGAAAAACAGATAGCTAGCACCATCCATGTATTGTACTCTGCATCTGTAGCATCCAAATGTGAAGCAACCATTTCCAGAAGAGATTCAAGACTATAATCTCCTGCAAAATATCAGAAGAAATCAATCCATGTATTGTACTCTGCATCTGTAGCATCCAAATGTGAAGCATCCAAATGTATTTAATTTATTTAAAAGAAATTGCTATGAAAGATACCTTCTTGGTGCATCTTTATAAGTTTTGCTAAAGAATCATAACAGGTTGGATCCTTCTTTAATATATCCTCATAACTTTGAATCAAGACACGGTTGTTTCGATCAAAATGCTCCATGAGAACCGCTCGTAATCTGCAAACAAATGCATCAGTAACTTCATAAACCTCCCAAGAAAAAGAAAAAAAAAGTAAATCACCACAAATTGCTGGTTTAATGACTATATACGTACAAGTAATAATATTGGGTTTTAGATAGAGAAAATAGGAAGTGTTAAAATACAAGAGACTACAAGTAATAATATTGGGTTTTAGATAGAGAAAATAGGAAGTGTTAAAATACAAGAGACTAAAAGACATTATTATATATAGATAGATTATAGCTAATTACATGATATAGTCGATGAGGGACTATTCTATATACATATATTCTTAACACTATATATTTACAAATATCAACAGGAAGAATAAAGATTATGATTATGATTTGATGATTTGATGTTGCAAAAAACAATAACAAGGAAACTGCTAAGACGAAACCAAGCTTGATAAAAACAATAACAAGGAAACTGCTATGACATGTAAATAATTTGAATGATATTATGTTGAGTAGATATCTCTTGATTAGGTTTATTGGTTCTTATTCCCATAAATAATTTGTTATACATACCAAGGGCAAGGGTAATTCATCTTAAGCAATCCAAATCAATTTGTTCGAATTCATATTTAGATTTGTGATTTAGTATTTTCTCAGTCTTGTTAGGGTTTTCAGCAACAGTAAGGATTGATCCATTGTACTTGAAGAACCAAGTTAGAATCTCATTGAACCACTTCCACGCCCTTATAATGAAACAGGACAAAAATTTAGAGGTGACCAAACTTGAAAAGCATTGGTTTATGAAAGCAGTAGTCGTGATCAGGAAGTAGAAGGATTGGTTTATGAAACCAGGAATCGTGACCACTGATTCCTGCTTTCATACTAATCCTTCTACTTTATGATCACGAGTCCTGCTTTCATAAATTAATCCTTCTACTTTCTGATCATGATTCCTGCTTCATAATCCTTCTAAGTTTGATCACCTTCTCCAAATTCACTGATCAAAAAGTAGAAAATTGATTTGTCAGCACAATCATGAATCAGAATCGATGGAGAATCAACCCACCTAAAGCGAACAAAAGTAGAGATAAAATTCTCTCTGATTCTCATCCTAAGTATATTGATCTTGACGTTCTCATACCTAATAGGAAATTTGTTAGATACTGCACCAAACATACTCTCATTCGTCTTGCATAGAAATTCTGTATAGGAAGCTCTATGGTTCAGTAGAAAGATACAAGACAAAGTTGATAGTTAAACAGTGTACTCAGACATACGGCATACAGCATGGATGGCCATCTCTAGGTTCTAAAGAAAAATTGGGATCAAAAGAGTGCAAATTGAAAATGCCTCTTTGTGGATTAAAGTATTCTCCAAGAGCTTGGTTCAAAAAATTTATTCAGTAACTAAAAAAAATAGATATACACTCAAGGGCAGTCAGATCACACTATATTCATTAAGTATATAAATCTGGTGAGAAAATGATTGTTCTGATCATTTACGTCAATGATATAGTTCTTACTGGAGATGATATGACAAAAATAGAGAAACTAAAGAGAAACCTGAAAACAAAGTTTAAGAACAAAGACTTGGGGTTTCTAAAGTAAACCCTTGACATGGAAATAGCTAGGCCAAAGAAAGGAATAGCAATGTCCCTTGATCTCTAACAAGAAGCAAGTATGAAAGGATCTAGATCAATTGATACTCTCGTGGATCCAAATTCAAAACTTTGAGAAAAAGAGGACACGCATGTTGACACAATAAGAAGATACCAGAGGTTAGTAAGAAAATTGATTTACTTGGAACATACGAAACCTAATATCGCCTTCTCTATCAGCATTGTCAGTCAATTAATGCATGCCTCTAATGAAAAATATCTTGAGGTTGTCAATAAAATTTTGAGATATTTGAAGGCTACCCCCAGAAAATTCCAATTTTTCGAGGAAAAAAAAGTGATGAGAATGTAGTTATATTTACTAACGCAGATTGGGCAGGAATCGTTTGGTACAGATTTAAAGTCTTTTTCACGTTTTGTTCTTATATGTGGAGAAACTTGGTAACGTAGAGAACTAAGAAGCAATGAGTAGCTGCTTGAAGCAGTGTAGAGGCTGAGTTTACAGCATTGGTCCAAAGAATTTGTGAGGTTCTTTGGATTCAATTCATCGAACTCTAAAGGGGTTAAGGATGTCGGTGGAACCACCATTGAAGTTATATTGTGACAACAAGACTGCAATAAGCATAGCCCAGAATTCAGTTCAACATGGTTGAACAAGCATATTAAAATCGATTGTCACGAGCTTTGAGTATATGATAAGCAAGTTGGGCATGATTGATTATATATGCACCAACTTGAGGGGGTGTTGAAATATTTTATCATCATCAGTTTGACACTACTTGATTTTACGTTTTTTTTTCTTTTCAAACCTTTAAATCACTCCTTAATTTATTGAGTGTCTTTATGTACTTTCTCCTATAAAACGAGGATCTTATGTTTTATTTCAATTCATCAGTTTGATTTTATGTTTCTTTTGCACTGATATACAGCTACGCAATAGCACTATAGTTCTATTTAATAACACTAATATCACAATCATTGTATTTGTTTTATGAGATTAATATCTATGTATTGATGGTGTAAAACTTTTTAACACATACATCCAATCAAATCGCTCTGTGATACCACTTTTTTTAAGTTAGTTTCAAAAATATCTCAACAAATATCTATTTGACATGATTTGATTGGAGGCATCTGTAACAAAAGAATATCACAATATATTAATCTCTTATTGTATATGCATATTATATCATGTAGATACGGCTGGTATCTATTATATCTATTTTTGTAATTACTAATGATTACTTTATGCCTATATAAAGTTGACTCCAAGGTATAGTTCAAATACACTCTTTTGCGATATATCTCTTTCATGTTCTCTTTCAACGATGAGCAAGGGATGTGTACCTAATTGGGAGGACGGAGTATGAATTATCGCATTGTTGCTCAAGCAGAGTTAAAGCCTCATTAACTTGACCTCCAATCAGCAGCAGCTGTCAACAGAAAATAAAGTGACGCAATTGTTGATGTCTCTAAATAATTTCATGTAGAAAACAATATCTATCAAATTATTGTTTCAAGCAGATGCAAAAATATGCACATGTATATGTATAGAGAAAAGGAAACTTAGTGCAGAGTTGCAGAGCACATTTAGATATTTTTGTGCAAGTTTAGATGGCAAATTGATTTCAAAAAACCCAAGCCTGATATTTTCATATTAGGTTTATACATATGCATGTGGAAGAAAAGACCAAATAGTAACAGCACACAAAGGACCAAGTATCCCAATAGCTTAAACATGGTGAAGAAAAGACAAAATAGTAACAATGCCACAAATCTTATTTAACTCTCTCTTACTTATTTCTCTCTTCTCACTTTCTTTCCGCAACAAATCAACACCCTAACAGTGAAATCAAAGTTAAATTTTGTTTTATTTTGGGAAGGGGTTATGCAACTACTAACTCATTAGAACTTCTACCGTTTTAAACCACCTTTTTTAGTTTATTGAACACTTGCCAATATAAAATGCCAAAAGCAGTAAAGTGGTTCCAAAATAATTTGAAATGTATGCTCCATACCTGTATTAAAGGAAGCAATGCTGCTGATGCAAAGGATGTTGAGTTAAGAGCTAGTTTTAAATACTCTAATGCATTGTTATAGTACTCGTTAAATTGATTTCTGTGCATGATCATGAACTCCAACAAACCATTCACATTCTCAAAACGCAAGGGCAGCAACCACAAATCAAGCTTCCCTGGATAAATGCATAAGGTCAATATTAAAGTTAGAGGTGATCTGAATAGCAATCACTATCAAAAATATACTGTGAGATTATAAATGCTGATTGATGAGCAATCACTATCTAGAATAATTGCGGGCAAAAGAAAATTAAAACTAACCTTATCAAACTATTATGCAAAACAAAATCAATATTTTCAATTTGAGAAAGAAAAAACTCAGATAAGACAAACTCAATTTACAAGCATATGTGTGCGCGCATTCTCATACAGATGTGCAGCCACGTGAAATAGATAATCTCCTCTTAACAATTAATCAGAAAATAAAAAGCTTACCGAGTGCATTCAAGATATCTTGTGTAAGACTTCCGCTGTTAGAAAAAGGGTCTCCCGTTACTTGATTTTCATCAGAAGTCAAGTAAAAATCTTGCGGCTGAAAGATTTGACTCAATTTTTCTCTTTTATGGTTAGCATCAACATCCATGGGAACAATCATATCATTATTGAAGCCAACATCCTTGGACATTTGCCTATTATTCATGACAGATGAATTTGAGTGGCATTGATATTGGGAGTCTGCCATGTGCGACTCAACTGTATTATGCCACTCTGATTGTCTAACTTCGTTGCTGAATGAAGTTTCCTCTGTATGTGAGTTCTCTTGACCGTCAATTTGATCTGAAGCTCTCCATTGAAATTCTTCGGGAATAGAAGAATACCACAGCTCATAGAATGTCAAACCCAACATCATCTTTGAAACAGGATCAATATCAACATTCTCTTGCTCAATGCTAAGGAAAACATAAAAAGACTAAATAAACAAGAGAGAGAGACGGCAAAGGGATAAGATGAAGGAAAAAACTAGTAGCCAGTAAGGAACCAATTTAATTTTGAAGTAAAAACGATATAATTATGAAGAACAAAATGCAGTATCAATGGAAAGTTTGCGGTTGAAAAACATGTCAAAGGAATTTAAATCATATTTCAGTTGAGTTTCCTTTTCTCAAAAGAATTATCTTGCAGTGTTATCAAATATCGGCGATGGCAAAGCTATGGTGGATATAGACGGCAGCTTTTGTGCTCACCGCAATGGTTGTGATTTTTTCCGCCATAATACTCTATAACACCGCCGCAAAGCAGCTGGTATGGCAGGATTTTGGCTCTCTGCAATGGACCTCCATCGACAACACTGTTAATCCTCTTAAGCATTGAGGCACTATCACTGGATTCTTTGAAATATTGACTTTACACTCATGTGCCTTAACTCTTTTTTATTTGGTTTCTCTAGTAACTCAGTCAGCATTTAATAATGAGTGGTTGAGTACCATAAATATTCTTAATAATTAACGCGTTATTCCCAAATGAAAATACTAACAGTTATAATCATTAATACTTCTACCATTATGAGCAATAAAAGTTTTACAGGACAATTTATAACCCCGTCCCAAAGAATATAAGTGTAATGGCATAACCAGTTGACAACATTATCTAGAAATGGCAGGTTTTGAAACGATTCAATCCTCAGCATCATGATGCAACATATAGTTCTCCATAGAGGCAGAGGACTGAAAAAAAGACAACCTAAGGCTAGTGGTACCAGAAAGCTCCTTCCACGGGTAGGCTCAAGAAGAGTTGGATCTATTTGAGTTTATTGTAAGTAGCTTTACCTTGCATTATGCAAGACACTGGTTTCATGTCTAAAACCTATGACTTTCTAGTGGTTACACAATAGCAACTATAATTATTGTGCCAAGGCTCCCTACAGGTAAAGGGCTAAGCATTAAATTTTAATATAACATACCATAGAGCAAGCTGATATGCCTCCACAGCATTGCCTTGCATGAAATGGAACAACAAGAACTCCAAAAGAACTGCACGTCTACTCTGCTTTCCAAGTAAAAATACACAATAAATTAGAAGGCTTAACAATCAACCTAGCAGAATCAACTCGTAACAATTCTTCAATTGCAAGTATAATTATATATCAACTAGAACTGAAGTAATTGACAAAACAAAACGAGAACTGAAGTTAGCAGAGAATATGGTGAGATTATTTCGCATTGAATGTTGTGCAACAGCAGGCTGCAACATTAATGTGAAGGGGAACAAACCAACATATAACCATTAATCACAAACCTGATTACTCTCACTTGGCTTGCACGTGTAATAAATTAATAAGAAAATTTTACAAAAGTACAAGGAATTACATTTAAAACTTGGAGCATGCTTGAAAATTAGGCTAATCTTTGAAAGCTAGGAAAGTTGCTAGCGAACTGAGTCAGAAAGAATTTTCAGCATCTAAAGTTCAGCTTGTCTGCTTAATAGATGGTAATTATAGCTGAGCATTAAAGTTGGAATGTGGTCAGTAGTAGAATAACAGCCATCAAGATCAGATCTTTTCTCTTACCTCACACTCTCTTACAAGAAGAGTTTTGATGATTTTTCTATTGGAAAAAACCCAAGTCCCACATTGGTTAAAGATACAATCTACAAAGGGTTTATATAGAGAGGCACCCCTCACCTTACCAACCGGTTTTGTAGGGTCGAGTTAGGTCAAACTCTAATTCTATCATGGTATCAGAGCCTACCGATTTGGGCCGCCCACCATTTATATATGTACACCAGGCCCAAAAAATGTTGGGCGCAAGGGGGCTGTATTGGAAAAACCAAGTCTCATATATTGATAATTTGGTTCACTCACTGTTTATATCCACGCACTAAGCCCAATAGTGTTGGGCGTGAGGGGGTGTATTGGGAAAAACCCAAGTCCCATGTTGGTTAAAGATACAATCTACAAAAGTTTATATAGAGTGGCACCCCTCACCTTACAAACCGATTTTGTAGGGTCGAGTTAGGCCAAACTCTAATTCTATCACTTTCCTAATGATTTTCAGAACATTCTTTTGATATTTTAATATCATAACCTACCTATCTCTTGTGAGTTATTACAGGTCCCTTAATCTTTTTGTTCTTGTTTTCACTTTGTTAAGTATGGCCTACAGCAAAGCAATGTTATAATACTTATAATAACTTGTTAGAAAATTACTAAAAGATAATTTAAAATTTATTGTCCCTGTGAATTGAAAAACAACATTCCATAATTGTTGAACTATTCACTATGCCAGAAGAAAATACATGAGCATTAGAAGACTAATCTTTTAATGAAATTGTTATGTTTCTGTCACAGTCTTTTGTCATTCTTAACAATTTCTCTCAAACTTAATCCTGAAAATTTCCATCTTCATGATAGTGACAATAACTAGGAATAAGCTATAAATTAAAAGTAGATTGTACCTAATGATCAAACAATTTGAAGAACATTTATATAAAGGTAGCCATGATAAATTACTTGGGTGGGGATGTTTCTGAAATATACCTCTACTGCCCAAGTCTTCATTGATCGAATCTTCAGTGATCCAATCTTCTTTGACCAAACGTCGTAGAGATTCGTGATCCTTTTTAAATTCATAGAATGGTTTCCCACATGCTTAAGAAGCTCTAGTAAAGCCTACACATAGACAGGCATACATTCTAGAATCAGGATATAAGTGATGAAAGAAATTACAGCAAAACTGTATACTTTCAGAATGAGGGATGAAAGGTAACAGAAACATGGGTGAGGCATTTCAATCACTTAAAAGATGTTTGCGTAATTTTGATTTGCATGTAGATTATACAAAATTTTCAAGAACCGTGTTATCATCTCACTTCTATTAGTACCACAGGTTTAAAGCTATAGAGGGAAGAAGGGTGCATACTCACAAAAATTAAAAGTGAAAATTACATGAATGATAATTTCAAAATATGAGCTCAATTCAGAATCACAAAAAAAAAAAAAAACAGTGAAAATCACACAAATGATAATTACAAAATATGAGCTCAAATCACAACCATATAAGGTGAGGTCACAGACACATCTACACGGGTATCAAATAAAATAGTGTGAGGCAATTTCTGGGCTTGGTACCTGTGTCTAGCTACATAATAATCCTCCGATATTCAAATGCTCTTTTAAGGATGCACAGTTTAAGCTATACTGAGGCACAGGAAGCCAGACATCTGAGTCAGCTTATAGACTACCTTGGATTACTGATATAAGTATACAGTTCCTAATTTACTAGAAAGACATTATCAGTCAATGCAATATGATTTCAACACTTGTTTAACCATACCAGCACTAGTCAAGTGTGGCAAAAGGAGCTAGTCTCCCACAACATGGAAAACAACAGTTCAAATATCCAGAGAGGAGCCAAATTTTGGGCTCACGACTCCTCGAACATGAATGAATCCCGAAAGACAAGACCTATGGTTTACAACCAAAATAAAAAACATTTCTCTCTTATAAGTGCTAAAAAGTTTTTCCAAACTGAAATTTTGACCCTAAATAAACATTTAGCAAGCAAATGAGATACAATACAGCACAGCACATTCAAAAAATTAACCTAAAACAAAAAATTCACAATTTGGAATTTTCAAAAACAGCAAAGGGGAAATAAGCAATTCATTACCCAAAATTTGAAACGATTCTTCAAGATAGAAGTATCCTTAATAGTTCCTTTCAAGTAAACACTAAGAACACCACAAGCTCCAACCCAATCTTGTTGATTAACTAGCCTACGCAGCAGGTACTGCAATCTCCGACGATGTTCCGATCTGAAAGGTTTAGGACAGAGTCCGAGAGCGTAGGAAGGCTTCGTTAACAATAAACGGATTCTCATCTCCTTCTTTTTGCGCTCCGACAGCTGACTAGTGTCATGGTGCATGTACTCCTTTCTCTTTCCGAGGCAGGTGGATTTCATTGTTGTACCACCGCCGCAGCCATTGTTGCTATCGTGTGGTATTATGTCCAATGTATCTACTTCCATTGTTAACGGAAAACAGCCTAATAGGTGAATGGTAGTGTGTGTTTTGGATTCGGCTTATAGACTCCTCGGTAGTGATGCTGGCAGCAAGATGGCGGTGGAAAGCAAAAGCGACGGAGAGGGCGATAGGTCGACGGCGGTGGAAAGCAAGAGCAACGGAGAGGGCGATAGGTCGACGGCGGTGGAAAGCAAGAGCGACGGAGAGGGCGATAGGTCGACGGCGAGGAAGTAATAGATGAATTGAATATGTTTTCAGGGGCGGCAGCTGTATACCAAATTCCTATTGAAGATTTAAATGAAAGATATTAGGGTTTGTTTCTTATATTAATACGTATTTATTCAAAAATTAATAAAATTGGATTTTTTTTTGTTACAAGCCCAAGACCCAGAGAAATTAGCCCATTAACTATTCTAGTATAATTTTTTATCAATTAAATCATTAAAGTAGATGATATATTGGAAACACTCTTTATATTATAAGATAAATACTGAAAACACTATTTATACATTATAAGGTTATTATTTGTATTCTCTTGTTTTGCTCTATTTATGTCAGCCCCTTAACTATTATAGTATAATTTTTATTAATTAGATCATCAAAGTAAATGATATATTATTTCTGGAAACACTATATACTATAACATCATTATTTATATTCACTTGCTTTGCTCCTATTTACGACAGCCTATCAGCACATTTTATAATTTTTTTGGTAGATTTTCTCTATTCCAACTTCTCAATTTCTATTCAGCAACTTAGTAATACTTCTTACTAGCCCTTTATCAATTCTCAAATAATTATCAGTAAAAAGCGTTATGTAAGGATTATTGTTATTAATCCTCAACTCAATTTTTATCAATTAAATCATCAAAGTAAATGATATACTGGAACTTTATATTATAAGATAAATACTGAAAACACTATTTATACATTATAAGGACATTATAATAATCTAAATTTAAAATAAATAAAAAAATTGGATTTTTTTGGTTACAAGCCCAAGCCCCAAAGAAATTAGCCCCTTAACTATTAGTATAATTTTTATCAATAAGATGATCAAAGTAAATGATATAATAGAAACACTCTTTATACATTATAAGAGCAAAGTGAGAGTAAATTAAATGGATAAACTAAGATATTTTTTGTGGGCCCAAAATAATTTGTAGGATTAAAATATTTATAGTTGATTTGAGTTGTTTTTACTTTAATGATGATTGTTGGTAAAAAACCAAAACTTGACCCCATATTGATATTTTAATAAGATAAATAATAATCAGAGTCATTGAAATTTGATAGTGTGCGTTGATTATATAGCTATCTAAAACTAATTGTTAGTTCACTTATTGTCATCTCATTCTTATTCCAATGCAAATTGTATATAACTACCGTTACTATTAAAGAATTTAATACTACCGAACATGCACTAAGAGCAACTTTAGCGCATAATTGTTAAACTAAAATTTTGTATAGCTTACGTTAGTAATAAGGAATTTGCATTATAGTAGAGCTGACATGACATATGGGATGCTCTAAAACTAGTTTATGTACTCTATACAAGCAACGCACTCTAACTCATTATTTAACATAAATAATATATTTTTATTAATTATTTAACATAAATAATTGATTTTTATTAACCATTTAATATCAAATTTGAATTCCTTATAAACAATCACCATTGAAGTAAAAATTTCTTAATTCAATTTTGAATTGCTTAAATCCTTCATGTCAATTTGGACCCACGTAAAATAACTTAGTTCATCCAATTTAGTTGCTCCCATTAAAGATGTTATAAGGTATATACTATAAACACTCTTTATACATTACTAGCGTCCAGACGAGTACTCGTTTGTCTGTCTGTCCGCTTTTTTAATGCGCTTGAATAAAAATATAAACGGTATTTTTTATTTAAATAAAAATTTAAAAAAATACAATAGGTGGAAGTTAATAATAAGAAGTTATTAAGTAAATTACATAATAAAGTAAGGGTAAAAATGGTAGAAAAATAAGTCACAACAAAATAAAGTATTCTCTTTATATATTGTATAGATAATGTCATTATTTGTATTCCCTTGCTTTGCTCCTATTTAAGTCATCCCCTTAACTATTCTAGTATAATTTCTATCAATTAGATCATCAAAGTAAATGATATATTACTTCTGAAACACTATATATTATAACTTCATTATTTATATTCATTTGCTTTGCTCCTATTTACGTTAGTCCATCAGCGCACTTTATAATTTTTTTAATAGATTTTCTCTATTCCAACTTCTCAATTTCTATTCAACAACTTAGTAATACTTCTTACTAGCCCTTTATCAATTCTCAAATAATTATCAGTAAAAAGCGTTATGTAAGCATTATTGTTATCAATACTCAACTCAATTTGCTTATAACATTTGCTTGCTAATAAGTTTAGGCCTCCGTGAATACCCCAAAATTTGGCTATATAAATTATTGTTCATCCAACATATTTGGAGAACCCTCATAACCAAGTACCATCTTTATTGCATATTATGTCGTCACACCTTGCTTGGTCAAAGTTTTACACATAATCATTGGTGTTTAAACGAATCCACTCATGCTGAGGAGGTTGCCAACAAACTTGTATAATAGTTAGATGTTTACCTTCGATTTTCTCATGAAGTTTGTTGCTGTCATGATACGCCTACACTTTTTCAATAATAATATTCACATCATTTACAAGTATAACATAACCATCGTCATGATAATGTTTGTTTTTTCAATACCAAACTGTATGACAAGCGGTGGCCCACAAAGTCTGCCAATTCACTCTTCCCTGAATGATCAGATTATCATTTAGGTTGAACTTTATCCACTCTTTAGTATCCACACTAAAAAACTTGTCTTGGTGATATGGCTCCACTATTTCATTCCACACTTGCATTGGGATGCTACAACCTCGAAGAAATTAGCTCATTAACTATTCTAGTATAATTTTTTATCAATTAAATCATCAAAGTAAATGATATATTGGAAACACTCTTTATATTATAAGATAAATACTGAAAACACTATTTATACATTATAAGGTCATTATTTGTATTCCCTTGTTTTGCTCCTATTTACGTCAGTCCCTTAACTATTATAGTATAATTTCTATCAATTAGATCATCAAAGTAAATGATATATTACTTCTGGAAACACTATATACTATAACATCATTATTTATATTCACTTGCTTTGCTCCTATTTACGACAGCCTATCAGCGCATTTTATAATTTTTTTGGTAGATTTTCTCTATTCCAACTTCTCAATTTCTATTCAGCAACTTAGTAATACTTCTTACTAGCCCTTTATCAATTCTCAAATAATTATCGGTAAAAAGCGTTATGTAAGCATTATTGTTATTAATACTCAACTCAATTTGTTTATAACCCCTGCTTGCTAATAAATTTAGTCCTTTGTGAATATCCTAAAGTTCGCATATATAAATTATTGTTCATCCAACATATTTGGAGAACTCTCTTAACCAAGTACCCTCTATTGCGTATTATGTCGTCGCACTTTGCTTGGTCAAAGTTTTACGCAGAATCATTGGTGTTTAAATGAATCCACTCATCCTGAGGAGGTTGCCAGCAAACTTGTATAATAGTTAGATGCTTACCTTCGATTTTCTCATGAAATTTGTTGTTGTCATGATACGCCTACACTTTTTCAATAATAATATTCACATCATTTACAAGTATAACATAATCATCGTCATGATAATGTTTGTTTTTTCAATACCAAACTGTATGACAAGTGGTGGTCCACAAAGCCTGCCAATTCACTCTTCCCTGAATGCTCATATTATCGTTTAGGTTGAACTTTATTCACTCTTTAGTATCCAAACAAAAAAAAAATCTTGGTGATATGGCTCCATTATTTCCTTCCACACTTGCATTTGGATGCTACAGCCCCGAAGGGCATGGACCAACATTTTAATCTTGTCTTCATAATTTTGACATTAAGGATCTCCAATCCCCAAGTGAGCCAAAAAAAAAACTATTAATTTTTATCCTAGTATGGTTAAGCATCAATATAAAGACTCTCATTTTTTTCACAAGTGTGAATTTTCCAAATTTTGCTCCAACAGTCATTTTTCATTCCTGGTACAACCTTACTTATAACTTTAAAAGCTAATGAAATAGAGAAATTACTAGAATTTGTCCCTCCCCATAAGCATGTGTCTTCACCCAACTCAATCTTAAGAGACAACACTGATTTACCTCTATCAACCATCTGAGCTGAAAACACTTGATGTATCTTATCCCAATGTCGGTCTCACGTCAGACTAATAAGATCCTTGACCTTGAGCAATGTATTCTCAGCTAATAAAGCCTTTATGTTCTCTGATGTAGTGATGATAGGTCCAATCCAACAGTCTGTCAAAGCTCTAGCTATATGACCACTATCAAGATTCCAATAAGTCATGCTTTTAAGAGTATGCCAAATCTCACTAATCATCTTCCATAGGCTCGATTCATGCGCCTTGACAGTTACATCTCGATTATTATTATTGCCTCTAGCATACTTTTCTTTCAGCACTTCACACCATAGAGCTTTGTCCCCTAGTTTAATATTTCATCTGAGCTTGGCAATGCAAGCTTTGTTCATCTCACTAAGTTTCCTCATACTCGTGCCTCCTTTGTAACTCCTTAAACTCTAAAACACTTATGTTATAAAAACATGTAGAATCATTTTAATTCAATGACAGGGTATCACGTATTTTCTCAAAATAAAACATCTTTTTCAAAAATTATAATAAAATAGAGAAACTCAAAACATCATTTCAACTTTAATTGTCTCAAATTATTAATTACTTCGTTTAAATAAAAGAGGTTCAATTAAAAAACTAGCAAAACACAAATAATAAAGGTAATCCCTCGCCCCCAAGTGTTACACTATCAGAGCGACACGTGAAACTAAAATAAACTCAAAGCAATAAACCGCGAAGAAGGACACTATGCCATTCTCCAACTTAACACCAGTTAAG